GGGGTCTTTTACCTGCGAGGAAATGGAGGCCCGGAGGTTGAGCAGTCAGCCGGGTGACAGGGCCACACAGCATCCCGCAGCTCGGCTAATCTCTACCCACTGTCACTGCCACACCGGGCGAGAGCCTGGCCTGAGCCCATGGCCCCCTGGCCAGCCCCCAGCCGCTCTGGACGCGCAAGGGCCAGCCTTGGGAAGGCTCCTGCGCCCGCTGGGCCATGGGCTCTGGTGGGGAAGTAGAGGAGACAGGAAGGAAGGCCGTGCAGCTGGAGTCTGGCCCATTGTCTCACCTGGGGTGGGGCGCTGCCTCCCCTGTCTGCCCCTGAGGGGTTCTACAGGAGGATGGGGGAAAGACCCTCAGCCTGCCCCTCTGTGCCCAGCCTCAGTTTACTGATCTGTGTGGCCTCAAGGTGAGGCCTTGAGGCAGAACAGGGTCCTTCCTGGGACATCAGCCACTGCTCCAAGCCCTTCACCTGGGCTGATTCACTTGAGCATTTGGTACCCTATGAGGGCAATGAGACCCCCCACCCCCATCCCCCCATTCATCAATTCCTACTGTGGTGAGGTGCCACTTAAGCCTCACCCTAAAAGAGAGCGCCATCCATTTAAGGTAGGCATACAGAGTAACACAGACGCACAGAAGGGCACTATGCATAGATAACAAAGAGATACACAGTAGCGTAGCTAGGTGATAGCACAGATTCATCCGTAGTAACAGATACACGGTAACACAGATAACTGGAAACATAGTAACATACATCTATAGTAATGTGGACCAATAGACACCTGGAAGGTAACACTGATAGATACATCGTCACATAGATAGTCACCGATCCATGGGTAAATAGATAGATAATAACACAGCTACTCGCTGCCACGTACCCAAAAGAACTCGTGGACATTCCACCGTTTCAGGAGGTGACAGGAGCAAGAACCAATGGGGCTGAAGGACACAGCCCACACTGCACCGAGTGTGTTAGCCACAAACAAGGCTCCAGGAAGTGAGGAGTCCCCATGGAGACGCTCAGGAAGCTGAAGAAGCACTGGAAGTCCTCCCTCTGTGTAGGAAGTTTGGAAGACAGCTACCTGGCAACCGACCAGAAGAGATCCATATCCATGCCCATTCCAAAGAGAGGTGGCCCGACAGGATGTCCAGAGTGCAGGACGATGTCCTGGAGATGGCACACGGGTAAAATGCTGCTGAAGACCCTCCAGCAACCGGAAGTTCAGGTCGATTCAGACGAGGACGCGGAACAAGGGCTGGCCTTGCTGAGGTCAGCGGAGCTTGGCTCAGAGCCGAGGGTACCAGAAAGGTGTGTCCTTGTGCTGCGTGGACTATGCAAATGCATTCCACTGTGGTGGCCCTGAGAAGAATGGGAATTCAGGAACACTGCATGGTGCTCACCAAGCCCTGGCACGTGGATGGAGAGGAGTCTACCCTCGTGGGGCTAGAACAAGGGAACCCTGCCCGGTTTAAAATCAGGAAAGCGGAGCACATCCTCAGAGAAGCGGGATCACATGAAGAAGAGTGTGGCCCCTGATGGGAGGAAGGCTTGCTAACCACCTGCAGAATTTCAGAGGACACAGGCTTGCTTGCTGAAAGGGAGGAGGACTTGGGTGCTTGACGGTGAAGATCAGGGGTCGCAGCCCTCAGTGTGGATGGCAGCTCAGTGTAAGGAAGACCAGCGTCCTCCCCACTGGACCAACCTCATGACACACAGAGAAAAGGCTGACGCGGTCAGGCTTTTTGTCTTGTTTGGATCCGTAATCAATTGTTCAGGACATCAAACAACGTCTTGACTTAAGTAACGCGGCTGCACAAGACTTCCTCAGCGCATTGAAGAGCAAGGATGCTGTGGTGAGGACAAAGGTGCGGCTGACCGGGCCCTGGCCTTCTCCACTGCCTCTGCGCACGTGGCAGTGGGACACGGGATGAGGAGACCGTACACGAATGCGTCGTGCGTTTGAACTGTGGCGCTGAGCAGGATATATGGACGGCACCACACCCTGATAAAAGGACAAACCGGCCCGTCCTGGAAGGATGGCCGCAGTGCCCCTGAGAGGCAAGGTGACAGGACTTCATCTCGCAGACGTTGGACGTGTTCTTAGGAGAGACCAGTCCCTGCAGGCGGGGTCATGCCTGGTACAGTGGAGGGGTAGTGAAGCGAGGAAGGGCCTCACGGAGATGGACTGACGCCGTGGCTGCAGCAAAGGGCTCAGGCAGAGGGACACTTGTGACGATGGCGCAGGACCAGGCAGTGCTTCCTTCTGCATAGGGTCGCTATGGGCCCGCGCCCAATCAATGGCATCCAGCAACAACTCTCAGCGGACCCTGCAGGACCCTGTAGAACTGCCCCTGTGGGTTTCCCAGACTCACTCTTCATGGAAGGAGAGAGCCTCATCTTTCTCCCTCAGGGCAGGCAGTGGTTTTGAACTGCTGACCTTGCTGTTAGCAAACCAACCACCCAGGCCACTCCTACAGTGCAGATGGCGCCACAGATAAATAGCAACCCCACGTGAGACAGATACAGAAATGCACAGAAAGATACACAGATAATAACAAAAGATGGGCCCAGAGGGCTTCGGAAAGAGACACACAGTAATTCCATCTTCCTCATTGCAGCTTTCCAGACAGGGCGC